CGATTCTGACTGGGCCCTTCAGAGATCTTTTGGTTTTGTCAGGTGTCAGAACACAAACTGTGAGGACCCAAAGCTTCCCCCATGCCTTTGACATGGCCACTGGAGCCACACTCATTTTTATGCCTGTGTGGATTTTGTTTGTTTGTTTGTTTGTTTTTGTTTTTGTTTTGAGACAGGGTTTCTCTGTATTGTTTTGGAGGCTGTCCTTGAACTTTCTCTGTAGATCAGGCTGGCCTTGAACTCACAGAGATCCGCCTACCTCTGCCTCCTGAGTGCTGGGATTAAAGGTGTGCGCCACCAATGCCCGGCTGCCTGTGTGTGTTTTATCTGCTTGTTTGTCTGCATGCAGTGCCTGAGGAGGCCAGGAGAAAGTGCTGGATCCCAAGGGCTGGAGTTACAGATGCTTGTAAGCCTCCCTGTTGGTTCTGGAATTGGATCTTCTGCAAGAGCAGCAAATGCTCTTAACCTGTGAGCCGTCTCTCCAGCCACCTGTAGCCACTGTCTCTTTCCAGATCTCCGGATCCCACTCCTCCTTGGAGCTGTTGTTACCTTCCTGACGTGGTGCGGCTGTTCATGTTTCCCTCTGATGACTCTGGGTGGTGATTCTGTATGCTGTGCACTTGTCAAACAGCCTCATCCTGACACTTTGTATCCCTTCCTTTTCCTGATCCCTGAAAACAAAGTGGGGGAAGGTCCTGGGAATGGTGGTAGCCTTCGTGCCCGGCTGACATCTTCCTATAGCCTCCATTAGATCCCATGATTGGTGCATTTGTTTATCTGAAGCAGCAGATGGCTCTGAGTCTCAACTCTGTTAGCTAGCCTTCTGGCATTCATAATGCCAGCTCCATCCACCCCCTGGCTGACCTTAAGCATGCTTCCAGCTTGTGTCTGCTTCCATTCACTAATCTACGAAATGGGGTGAGAATACTAAGTACCCCAAGGGCTGTTATGAGAGTTAAATACATTGCTATGTAAAGCCTTTACAATAGGGTCTCACCGGCTGCAAGTCTGTTTTGGGATTTGCTGTTATTTGTTTCCACTTGGTCTGAGTGTCCAGATTGCTACAGGTACTGGGCACTAGAGATGGAGTCCCTGTCCTCACAGAGCTTTTGCTCTAGGAGGGAGACAGATAAGCAGGGTAGTGGCCACAACACATGTTAAATGCTGTGAGCAAGGAAGGCTGGTACCCTAAGAACATGCAGGAGGGACACCTGCCTCCCTCACCCCCATAAGTCAGTGGCTGCTGAATCCTCACCCCAGGCCTCATGGCCATTTGAACTTCTGCTCCTTCTCCCAAGGAGATTTAAACTGGTTTTTCAGGACTGGAGCTGGACTAGGCTTCACAGAAGCTAAGAACTATCCCTTATGGGTCGTTCTGGAAGGTTGAGAAAAGGTATGGAAATATATGGAAACACCTAGTTTGACGTGGAGATCGTTGGCCAAAACTGGGAGAGCCGCTAAAGATAGTAGCTGGGGCTTTAGAAGCACTGCCGATTCACTGTTTCTCTTCAGCCCAGTGAGAGGAGAGCCTCCTTCCAGGGCAGGGGCGCCACTGCAGAGGAAGCCCGTGCTTCTGTGCCCTAGCCGGGTCCTCTCAGCGTACACGGCTGGGGCTCCCAGGGTTTTCTTCAGGTCCCAGCAGCTGCGGCTCCTCTTGTTCACAGCTCTAGCCTAGCTCTCTCCCCTCCTCTCCCAATTGCCCAGAACTTCTGCTCCCTCTTGACGTCTAGGAGGGACATCTATATGCCCTGGCCTCTGGCATATTGAAACCTGCCTGAGCAGGTGCCCCCTTTCTCGCCTCCTCCTCCTCTCCTTCCTTTCCTCTCCCTTCCCTCTCTCTGTCTCTCTGTGTGTCTCTGTCTCTGTCTCTCTGTGTGTCTCTGTCTCTGTCTCTGTCTCTCTCTCTTTCTGGCCTTTGTGGCAGAAGTCTGCGTTCGACCGACTCAGCTCCTGCCAGCCCTTTTATCTCCTGAGCTGCGCTTTCCTGCTCTGGGGATGAAAACCTCCTGACGGTTACTGTTGTGGCCTAGTGTCCTCGGTCCTCAGACGTCACACAAACACTGACTCAGCATTACTCCCCAGCCCTGGCAAGTCCTCTGCATCATCCTCCCCCGCCTTCTGCTCTCCGTAACGTCTGCTGCCTGCATGCAGTCTGCCAGCCTCTCTCCTGACAATGTCTTCTCATTCTCATTCTCATTCTTCTCATTCTCCCCTCCCATCTGTCCTGAGTACATACTATCAGGCCCCAGGCCGGGGACATGTCTGTCCCCAGCTTCACTCCCACCCTTCCATCTGACACTCAGTGTTTCAGAATCCACACTTATCAATCTGAGTGGTGTCCTAGTCCAGACCTTCAGCCTCACGTGAAGCTTCAGAGAAGATGGGTCATGTCATTAAATCTTAGGACCTCAACTTATATTTTTTAGTAGTAAAGAGAGCATTACGCTTTATCGGTTACCGTACGTCCACACTTGATCTGTCCATATGTCAGGCCGTTACATGTCTTGCTTGGAATGCAACATGTCCTGGGTGGGGTTTCCAGGCAACTGGCACTCCATGTGTTTGACTTTGTCGTGTTACAGTGACTGTGGTTCCTATTGCTCTGCTTCCTGGACTTGGATAGTGCCTGGTGTTAACTAAATAAGTTTTGACAGAGCAAATGAATGACTCTAGAACATTCCTCCTGAAAGCCTGTGATCCCAGGAGACTGCTAATGACATAATGATAAGCAATCATGAAAAGCATAGCACCAACACTTCTTATAACAACACGTCATCAGCAGAGTACATGGTAAAAACGATGGCCTGTCATATATGACCTGACATGTGCAGCAAAAGCCAATTGGCCAAGAAGACCATGTGAGATGCAAAATTCTGTCTGTTCCCATTGATAACAAACCTCGCCCTAAGTGCCATGAGAAGGAGCTGATAAGCAAAAGCTACACACTTAGAAACACATTTGTAGGTCAGGCATGGTCACACAACACACCTAGATTCTTAGCGTTTGGGAGACTGAGGCAGGTGGGGATAAAGAGTTTGAGTCTGCACTACACAGTGAGACCTTGTTTATATATATATATAAAGAGGTGGGGCAAGAAGAGTTGGGAATTTAGTTTAGTGTTAAGTACGAAACCCTGAGTTCTGTCTTCAGCACTAAAAACAAAACGTGTAAAAAAAGAACCAAGACACTCAAACTTGGCTGTGCAATTAAAGCATCAGTCTTTCCTCCTCCTCTTTTTCTCTGAGAGAGAGAGAGTCTCACTGTGTAGACTAGAATGTTTTTTGAAATCACAGAAATCTGCCTGCCCCTGTCTCCTGATAAAGGTGTGAACCCCCATGCCCAGAAAAATTGCATTAATTTTTAAATATTTCCTTTTATCTTCAATTATGCCTCTGTGTTGGCATGTGCACCTGAGTGACCTATGGAGGTCAGTAGAGGGCGTTGGACCCCCTGGAGCTAGAGTATCAGCTCCCTCTTCCCTCGTGTGGCTCCTGGGGACTGAACTCAGATTGTCAGGTTTGGTGGCAAGTGTGTTGAGCCACTGAGCTGACTCATCGTCTCTCTTTACTAGCTTAGGAATTACGAACTCAAGCTGCCCCTCCCCTCACCTCCTTCTGTCACCAATGCTGGGGATCAAACCCAAGATGTGGACACATCCACAGGACTGTCGCACTAAAACAATGTAGATGTTTTCCTTTTCCTATTTAGTATCAATAGGGGCTTTTTGTCTCTGTGATGTAAGAGGGATGTTGTGGAATCAAAGCAGGATGTGTGTTAGCATGAAAATACTGATACCGTTTCCTTGTTGGCCAATCTTCATTCAGACGCCTCCCGTGTATCTATAGTCGTCTCCAAATGCAAAGTTAATAAAACAAACAAAGCATGTCTGACCATATGTTATGTTGCAAAAGGCGAATGTGGTAGAATGTATACTGCATATAGTAGTATAGCTGTATATGTGGTTGAAAACTCAGATGAGAAATTATTTTTTTAGCATTTCAAAAAACAAATTATTTTTGTTACATGAGACGGGTCTTGTACTCTGTCTCAGGATGGCCTTGAACTTGAGGTGATCCTGCTGCTTCATCCTCTTTGGTGCTGGGATTATTGGTATAAAGTATTACTTCAGTGTCTGGAGATATTTTCTTACTGAAATATGTGTGTATATATATATTATACACAACATGATATTTTGAAATAAGAATACATTGTACAATGGTTAACCTAAAACAAAAAACAAGGTGGAAAGCAAAGAAGACAGTCTACACTGACTTCTGTCCTATCCATGCATCACACCACAGGAACATATGCATATGCCACATACACACACACACAAATATGTGTGTTGCTCTGCATTGATAGGCACGTTAATCGGCTCAATCATATTTGTGTGTGTTAAGGGGAAGGGTGAGACTGCTTAAAATCCCAGGGATTTTCAATATGTAATGCCTTGTTATTAGTTATTGTCGCCATGTTGGGTAGTAGGTCTCTTGAACTTTTTCCTCTCGTCTGAACTTTAATTTGTTCATTTATTTTGTCTGTGTTCATGCCATGCATGTGGGTGTGGAGGTCAGAGGATAACTGTGGAGCTGCTTCTCTTGTCCCAGTCTGTGGGTTCTGGGGCTTGAACTCAGGTCATCAGGCTTGGCAGCAGGCTTTAGCTGCTGAGTTATCTTACCTGTGCTGAAATTCACACCCTTAGACTACCAACTCCCAAGCTACTCCCGCCATTTCCCTCTTTGGTTCTGTAGGTTTGCCTTTCCCAGATTCCGCACAGATATGAGATCCGGTTACATTTGTCTTTCTGTGCCTTCACTCAATATTGCCTTCAAAAAAAGCAAGGCAAGCCAGGAGGATCTCAGTGAGAGCAAGGCAGAACAGATGCCGCAGATGTTTGGAGGAACTCAGGCTACTTAGCTCATGGGATACCCGAACCGTGACCACTTGGTAGATGAGCTCAAAGGCCTCCCATGAGACCTGTCTATATCTTCATTCCTCAGCCTTCCCAGTGATAGAAAATGGTCAGCTGGAGTGTCCCCAAGGGTACAAGAGACTGAACCTCAGCCACTGCCAAGGTAAGGATGACCCAAGGGCTGGATGAAGTGGGGGGGTGGCAGGGGGCATGATTATGCCTGCTAATCTGGGTAACACACACCCCAGAAGGGATGAGCACCTGTTGCTGCCTGGTAGGCCTCTGTTGTATACCTTTAAACCCCAGCTTCCGGGAGCTGTGAGAGGGGCTGGTCCTAGATCTTAGAACATCAGCACTTACTTGAGGGTGCTGGGAGACCCGGGGTACTGGGGCCACCCATCCTTACCCACTTCTATTTGAACCATGGCTAGAAACCCTGTTTCCACCAAAGTGAGCTGGTGGGAACCTCTGTAGGCTCCTCCCAACAGAGCACAGTTAAATGGTTGGGTCTCCTTCCCAGATGCCTCAGCCCATAGCCAGGGATAGCGGGGAGGAATAGGCAGCAGGCATAGGTGGGTCATGAAGCCTAATTCTACCCCCATCTTGATGGCCTCTATGATGGATCTGTGGCTCAGCTGAGAGGCAGAGGTGGCCTGCATTAGAGCCCACAGAGGGACCAAGCCTAGGGACAGAGGGAGGGGCCAAGTGACGGCTCCGATGATTTTAGAGCTGTATTGACCTCTGACCTCCTGTTGGTGAATGGTTCTAGAATTGGCAGGATCATCAGGAGCTGGGACCACTTCCCTTCAGAGAACTTCAGTAACTGTGTGGAGAGTTGTCTGTATGGCTTGAGATAAAGCTGGGTTGGAGATAATATTGTCCCAAATGGCCTTGAGGCCCCTTTCTGAAGTTTTCTCCCAGAGAGATGAACCTGTGGAAGCCTTAGTGACATCTGTCTGTGGGATACCGGGCCACAGAAGGGAATTTGACTCAAGGATAAGGAAAGGTCCAGGCCTCAGAACAGACTGCTAGCTCTGGCTAGGTCAGAGTTAAACTCCTTTGGGTACAGTGAACCAGAGTTCCAAGTGGTTGCGAGAACTCTTTTTGTCTTTCATTCTTGGAATTTCAATGAGTTCCCTGCCTGTCCTCCACAGAGCTCTGGGGAAGGTCCCCAAGCTCCAACCCCAGAGTGTCCTGCCCTATTCTTCACCCACATGCCCCCATCCCTATGCCTCTGAAGTTGAGGGTAACGGGAGGATGAGGCCAGGGTGGGTACCACATCCAGTCTGTGCTATAGCTAGGTAAGCAACAATAGGGAAGACCCAGTTCCATGACCAGGAGAACACAGACACCTGGTTAAATACAACCTGAGAAGGTTTTTGGTGGGTGGCATGGGATCCCTGGCAGGATCCAATCCAGGCTGGGAGGACCAAGGAAGGCTTCCTGGAAGAGGCAGCTCTAGGGGTCAGTGAGCATAAATCACCCAGCTGAAGCAGGTGCAGATCTCCCAGGCAGAAGGAGAAGCAGAGGGATAGTTAGGGCTGACTGAAGCATCTGAGGGACACTGGTCACACAGCCTGCATGCACACAGGAGGTGACAGTGTCTCGTGAGAAGCACCTGCTCACCCACAGGCTTTGGGAGGGCCTTGGATGCCGTGCCTTGTTTTAGGGCTCCCTGGAGGAGGTAATGAGGAACCCCGAATCTTCTGAGACACAGGGGAGGCAAATCAGCTCGTGTTTAGATGTGTCTAGGCACAAGCTGAAGGTATATGGCCTGGCCTCCTTTCCTGCTCTCAGTGGTATCACTTAGGTGCCTCTGCTACCAAGAGATGTCTTACTAAGGATGTCCTCTTGGTAGCCATCTTTTGTGGCCTCATCTTGTGTTAATTTCCTCAAGGCCTGAGGATGAGCAGTGGTGCTGATGGCACTGGGTTACCTAAATTACACCCTGCTATGGAAGCCAGTGCTGTTCACATAATGTTTCATGTTCACCATCAATATGGCAACCATAGTCACCAACAGAGGAACCATCACCAAGATGTCCCAACTTGGAGCTCAGAGTACAAGGGTTTGAGCTCCCATTTTGCAACACAAGTTTAGACACCAAGACAAAGCTATTGTCCTTCCTTATCTGAGGGTAGACAGGAGCCTCTGCTGGTCCTGGGGGGTCATGCAGTCTGTTTTGTGCAGGGGGTACCAGACACATGCATTTCTACCCTCCTGCTGACCTCTACTTCTTCCTCCCCAGCCCTTCAACTCTGTCCCCCCAGCCTCCTTCTTCCTGCCCCCTACACGCCCACCCTGCGGAACTGCTCAGGAGCTCTTGAAGAAAGATAACCACAAGGGAATTAGTTGCCTGTCTGCCACCCTCCAATCTGAGCAGTATTGTCTGTTTCCTCAGTCCCCGTGCCACTTGCCAGAGTCACCAAGAGCTGAGTCACTCTGGGCAAGTTACTCCCCGAGCTTTTCGTCATCTATAAAACGAGGACAGAAGAACCAGATAAAACTGTCTGTAAGGCTAAAAGGGGTGTCATCCTCAAATACCCAAAGAGCATGAAGCACACAGTAGGCACTCCATAGATGTTAGCGTTCAAGCTAAGATGGCTACTATGTGCAAGTTAGTGCTGCGGTTTACAGTTTTTCTGTTTAATTATCCTGTCAGCACGGTCAGGTGGTTGTTATCACGATCCCTGTTTTGTGAGTGAGAAAACCAAGACGCACGGAGAGATCCCACACTGAATGTGTGCAGCCCCCCCCGCCATCATCTGGCCTCAGCTGGATTGACATTCCTCACCCCTGCAGATATCAATGAGTGTCTGACCCTGGGACTGTGCAAGGACGCAGAATGTGTGAACACCAGGGGCAGCTACCTGTGTACCTGCAGGCCTGGCCTCATGCTGGATCCATCGAGGAGCCGCTGCGTGTGTGAGTGATGGTGGGGCCGGGGTGAGGAGCCCCCTCCAGGGGCACAGTGCAGGCCCAGAGCGGCAAATCTCCCAAGGCCTCACGGCCTCACGCCGAGGGCCAGTGTCTGCTGTCAGCTTGGAGTTGGGACTGGAAGTTGCCTCCTCACTCTCTACTGGCTTTTCTTCTAAAACTTTTCAAGGATTCATGTTTTTCTGTTTTGTCTTTCTCTCTAATCATTTCCATCCTTTCTGCTGTCCCATTGCCTTTGAAAGTGTGTGTTATCTCTTTGAACTGTCTGGCCGAATCATAGATGCTAATTAATCTACTGCCCTAGCTTAGCAACATGGCCAGTCACATGGCTGCTGCTTTGTTTTTTTTTAATGTGTACAGGTGTTTTTTTTGCATGTTTGTCTGCGTAATATGTGTGTGCCTGGTGTCTGCAGAGGCCAGAAGAGAGCATTTGATCCCCTGAAACTGGAGTTACACATAGTTGTGAGCTGCCGTGTGGGTACTGGGATTCAAATCCTGGACCTCTGGAAGAACGGCCAGTGCTCTTGACCACTGAGCCATCTCTCCCGCCACTGAGTGATATTTTTATGTGCATGGTAGAGTGGTGTTACTGCTGTATCCTGGCGCCTTTGCATTACTCCATGGTCCTTTTTGCATGCATCTCCACAAACACGAACACATACATATCATGAGTTGTGACTTGCATTGTGCACGTGTGTATATTCCCACATAAACTCCAGTGGCCTCTGTGGTTCCCAGCTGACAGAGGCCCAGGGTGGCAGGTCCTTCCTCACCCCCTGGCAGTAGCGCTGAGTCCACAAGAAAGGCTTGAGCAGAGCACAATGAAAACAGTCCCTAGGGACCTCAGGAACAAGGCCACCTCTGGCTCACAGAGCTCTCTGGCTGGCAGACAAAGTGCCCGCTACTGGATATGGGAAGGCCATAGGAGAAACCAAACTCTGCTGTCACCCAGAGGTAGTGGCCTGTAGAAACGGTGGCTGGACCCGACATCTCAAGGGACAGGAGGCAGTGAGAGTCCAGAGAGTAGGAGAACCAGGATGGGGAGAACACATCGGTCTGCTTATGGTGGCAAGAATACGTAATCAAGGCCCCAAGGACCTTATAGTCTTTCCTTTTCCATGTCACTTGAGGTTCCTTTATCAGGCTGGGTGTGGTGGTGCATGCCTTAACCCCAGCACTCTGGAGGCAGGGGCCAGCCTGGTCTACAGAGTGATATCCAAGTTAGCTAGAGCTCCATAGCAAAACCCTGTCTCAAAACAACAACAATGACAAAACCAAACCAAAACAAAACTTTCTTTATGAGGGTGCTTAACACCCAACATGTCTGAAGGCCAGGAAGACATTCCAATGCGGCAATATGGAGAAGCAGGGAGACTGTCTTTATTTTCTCTTCCTCCCAAAATCTCCTCCCTCCAGCTTCCTCCAAGGATTCATTCATTCACACACACACACACACACACACACACACACACACACACACACACACAGATGGAGAAGGCAAGCTGGTGACTTCCTGTCACCCGACTAGGACAGTAAAATCATCTCTGATCGCTGGTCCAGCTTCCTTATACCCATCTTGGGATCAAAGCAATAGAGCCTGTTTCCACAGCAGCGCAAGGGAAGTGGCCACTGCAGGCAGAGATGCCCCTGCGGATGCAGGGCTCGGGGAGTGATGGATGTGACCTTTGGCAGGGCATTCGAGTGTGCCTTGCTGTATTTCATCCCATGACCCCGTGAAGAAGGGTTCTTTAGCTGGGAGTCACAGGAACCTGACTCCCACTGCTTTAACTGATGAGCACAACTAGGAAGCAAGAGAGGGGACAAATGTGACAGTGTAGGTTGGATCCAGGTCTCCATGGTGCCCTAGGGAGTCTCTTGCTACTTCCTGTGTTGGTTTTCTAGCCCCTTTCAGAGGTGGCTTCCACAAGCCCTCGGCTCTCAGCCTTGGACTCCCAGTCTGAACATGGGCACTTATTCTTTTAAAGTATTTTGTGTACATCAGTCAGATCCCTTGATAGATGGCTGTCAGCCACGTGTGGTTTCCGGGAATTGAACTCAGGACCTCTGGAAGAGCAGCTAGTGCTCTTATCCACTGAGCCATCTCCCCAGCCCCAGGCACCTGTTTTCTAATAATACAAGTCCCAAGCTGAGCAGTAGGGGGTTTACTTTCTCAAGTGCCTGTCCCTGTCCCAATCACTGTGACCAGGGGTATCAGTGTCAGTCCTTCGATCTGAAAGTGGCTCTGGGGGAAGGGGAGGGGAGAGGGAGGAGTAGCGCCTGTAGAGAACGAGTCTTTTCTATAGCATTAGCACACATGCAAGGTAAGCCCAAGTGCCCAAAGTCCACGGTACACCACCATCGTTACTCTACATTAAGGAAACCCAGGCCCAGGGAGCTACGTAGCTCAGCAGGCAGCAGATAATTCCCAGGACTCCTCAGAATCATTAATTCTCAACTTTGACTGTTGTTCTTAGCATCCCTCTGTCCTCTGACAGTCTGGTTTGCCCTCTAAAGATTTAAGTCTATTTCAACCTGGTTGGCCATATCTTTTTCTACCGAGATAATAAGCAAGAGACTGTTTTTTAATATTCACTTGCTTTTAGCTCCACAGGATTCATGGATTCAATGGTTTTTTTTCTCTTTTTCTGTCTTGTGTATGTGTGTAGTGCTGTTAATGAAATCCAGGGCTTTAGGCATGCCAGGCAAGGGCTCTACCACTGAACTACACACCAGGATTCAGAACTCAGTTGTTTGATTACATGAGCCGTCCATGCATCAACTCAACATGCATTATGAAGCAACCATATACACCAGACACATGGATGACTCTGGGTGACAAAGATGACCCAGACGAGGTCCCTGTCCTCAAAGCTCTCCAGCACGCCTTGGGTACTCAGCTTGTCTCATCTCCCCAGAAAGACTTTGTGACCCACAGAGCACACTGGGAGCCTTTAGAAAACACTCTAAAGGCAGCAGGTGGAGACAAACAACTCTGTCCCAGGTCCTGCTCGCACATAAGGGTGGGATCCTAGGGCCAAGTCAGGTAGCCGCCAGGAGCACATGTAGGAGTATTCCACGACAGCCATCCGCCCTAAGGTTCTTGTGAGCATCTGAGCTTGCGGAGTGAGACGTGAGCCAGGCTAGTCTCGGTGCCTGGGGCTGAGCATCTGAGCTTGCGGAGTGAGGCGTGAGCCAGGCTAGTCTCGGTGCCTGGGGCTGACCCCACCTCTGTCCACTGCCTACCATGCTTTTTCCTCCCACTGGCCACCTGCCCGTTCCCATGTGTCCTGTCTGTTGCAGCGGACAAGGCTGTCTCCATGCAACAGGGACTATGCTACCGGTCCCTGGGGTCTGGAACCTGCACCCTGCCCTTGGTACATCGGATCACCAAGCAGATATGCTGCTGCAGCCGTGTGGGGAAAGCCTGGGGCAGCAAGTGTGAAAAGTGTCCCCTGCCTGGCACAGGTAACTCCATCCTCGCCCCAGCCCTGGCCAATAGGATACTTCCTCAAAGTCAGCGGCCACTTCCCAGGCTGGGTAGACCCCTTCCAGCCAGAGAGCTCAGTCCACACTTCCATGTTCCAGACCTGGGACTCCCCTTGCAGCCACAATGTCTTGTCCCCTTGAGGGAAGGAGTGGGAGGGCCCAGGCTCCTTGCAGGAATGGCACGGTTCAGTTCGTCCTCTGCTGGTTTTTCAGAGGCCTTCAGGGAGATCTGCCCTGCTGGCCATGGTTACACCTACTCCAGCTCAGACATCCGCCTGTCAATGAGGAAGGCCGAGGAGGAGGAACTGGCTAGCCCCTTAAGGGAACAGACACAGAAGACCAGTGGACCCCTGCCCGGGGCTGCAGAGAGGCAACCACTCCGGGCAGTCACCGGCACCTGGATTGAGGCTGAGACCCTTCCTGACAAAGGTATCCAAGTTGGGGGAGACGCCCAGGGATCCCCCTGTCCCTTACAGTTCCCAGGACAGTAGCTTCAGCACGGTTGCCTGGTTGCCCAGGCTCACAATGTGTGGGCCATGAAGAGCTTGTGTTTAGTTTGAGTTCTCCAGCTGGTGCTCTGGAAACTTATGCCTGGGTCTCCTAGTACAGGAGGCCAGGAAGCTATTAGACCAAGAAAACTAGCATAGTGCTAGAATTACTCCAAGAAGCTGTTACAGGGAAGTGAGGGCAGAGCTCAGTGGCCATAGACACGGGACACTAGTCAGTTAGAGACAATGCATTCCCTTTCTAGAAGGTCCCCCTTAGTCCATGGCCCAGAGTAGGGAGGATGGACAGTAACCCATGTGATCAGGGCCATGGAGGGAGGAGGTCTCTTGTGGGTCTAATGAGGCTTCTGTCTCTGAAGACATGGAAGGAATGCAGGAGACTTCCTTCTCCAACTGGCAGGTGAGCTGGGCTGCCTGTACGCTCTCTAGCCTTGGATTTCTGGGGTGGTTGCCCCCAAAGGGAGTTGACAGTCTGAGGCAGGTGAAGAGTTGCATGCTGCATGTTGCTCATCTTGCTAGGGATGTGGGGGGAGTGTAGACTGTGCGGGCAGGCTGTGAGTGGAGGGCAGAACGTCACTTCCTCCCCTCCTGGAGCTCATGCTGTCATCTTCCTTTCCCAGGTGACTCTCGGGCTATTCAGGTGAGTGAGTCTTCCTGCCAGGGAGATGGATTAGGGTGACAGAGAGTGACATAGACCCCGGAATACAGCGCCTGGAGTCCTGGGGAGATCACAGAATTGAGTCAAGGACCCATTTGACTGTGTAGTTAGTCCTGGTGGCCACTCAAGCTTGAGAACTCACTGTGCACGAACCCTAGAGCTGGTCCTGAATCTGGCATGTTTCATGAGCTTCTTTAACACATACCCTCTGTGAGGAGCTCACGGGAAAGCAGAAGCATGGCTGTGGAGACCTCAAACCATTTCACTGAGGGAAGGGCATCTGCCCCTTCCCTGGGCCCAGAATCCCCCCAGTGCATTCAAGACTGAGCATCTCTGAGAGCCTCAGAGGAGTGAATCTGCTTTATCCTCCAGTCCTTGGCCAGTCTGCTGGTTCCTACTCATCTCGTGATGGCGATGAGCTAACCTGTCTCCATGCACTGTTTCTCCAGCTGCCTTGATTTCCTGCTTAAGAACCATATGCTGAAGCTGGGCATGATGGCACACACCTTTAATCCCAGCACTTGGGAGGCAGAGGCAGGCGGATCTCTGAGTTCGAGGCCAGCCTGGTCTCCAGAGCGAGTTTCAAGACAGCAAGGGTGACACAGAGAAACCCTGTTTCAAAAACAAAAACCACATGCTGTTCTCTCAGGCCAAAGCCCCCCCCCCCCCCGTGTCACCACAGCCCCAGCAACGCCCCAGTACCCCGCCCCAGTGCCCTGCCACAGTGCCCTCTGTCCTCCGCTGTCCTTTGCTTTTCTGTGCCCCATCTGTCTCTGTCCATAGCTGTGGCTAGGGACACTGAGTATGGCTATGACTCCTGGCTTCACCACACTGGCGTTGTGGCCCTGGATGGTCTAGTTAATCTCTGTTACTCCATCTATGACATGAGGATCATAGCTTTGATAAGTGCTAATGTTCTGCTGTGTGGCCGACACTCAGCTGGTACAGGACAGACCTTTAACCACTACAGCTTACAAGGAAGTGGAGCGGGTTGGTTAAGATTGTGGATAGAAGATGCCTAGAGAATACACACCAGCAGTAAAAACTCACTGACTGGGGGGGAGCAGGAAGGAGGTGGGGTAAGTGGGGAGAAAGAAGCATGTCCCGGGAGTAACAGACGAGCCTCCCCAAATAACCTTCATTTCTGCACAGATCACAACCAGCGTTCCCCACCTGCCTGCCTGGGTACCAGGTGAGTTCCTCTTCCTAGACACTCCCAGGGACAAGAGAAGGGAGACAGAGAGACCTTAGTTTTAGTCGTGGAATGACTACCCGTGAAGTGACCCGTGGGGTTCAAACCAGAGGTGGCGAGTGACATAGCATGTGAGCACTCTTTCTGGGAACCCTGAGTCCCTAAGGAACTGTGCTGTTAGTAAGAAATCCCATGATGCTTTGCAAGTGTTTTCCTACCCACCAAACTCTTTCTTTCTTTTTTTTTTTTTTTTTTTTTTTTTTTTTGGTTTTTCGAGGCAGGGTTTCTCTGTATTGTTTTGGAGGCTTTCCTGGAACTCGCTTTGTAGACCAGGATGGCCTCGAACTCACAGAGATCCGCCTGCCTCTGCCTCCCGAGTGCTGGGATTAAAGGCATGAGCCACCAACGCCTGGCCAAACTCTTTCTTAATCTCATGGTGCCACTCAGCATGCAAATCAGGCCACAGAGGTGGCGCTAACTAAAGTAGCGGCTTGGTGGGCTCCAGAGCTCTTTCCTCCAGGGGCCTCATCTCACCTCCTGACCCTGAGGTGACCTCTCGCCAGAGCTGGGCTCAGGGTCAAGGATGCAGAGTTTCCCCTGCTGATGTCTCCATGGCAACCGGGTGCTTGTGCTTGCAGCACCGGTGTGTAAACTGCAAGATGCATTACAAGTGAAAGCAGAGCATTAGATTGGGCATCAGGAGATGGGGGCGGCAGTTCTGCCTCCAGTAAGCTGCCTGGCCTTGGACAAGGAACCATTTCTGCACTCCTCGGGTTCTTTGACTATAAGGGGAGGGGACCGGATATGCCAAAGGAGAGAGTAGACGGTGGGAGCGCTAGGTGCCACTTTTGGTTCGTGGGAGTCTGAACATCAGGGGACACAGAAGGACCACTGCCAGCCAATGGGCTCCACTTCCTCCCCTCTGTCCTCTCCAGGGGACGCCACGGGAAGACCGGCACCATCGTTGTCTGCACAGGGCCTTCCAGAGAGTCCAGAGGAAGAGAAAGTGACTCCCTCCAGTGATGTCCTGGTGACACAGACACCCCCAGGTACTGCAGCAGCCCTTGGAGGCTCTGCAGCCCCCACCTTTGGGAGATGTGGCTGCCCAGAACCAAACTCTGGGCCAGGACTGTGACTGGAGCTTCTCTCTTGTCTCCTCAACCGTGTAAACAGTCTCCAGCAACTCTGACCTAGCTGTAGCCCTGTCCTGATCCTACAGAGGCCACACAGCCTGTGTAGAGAAGACAGGAGCCCTGCCTGGGCACCAGCGTCCCTTGGAGGGATGGTCCTACTCAGAGGACTCCAGGGAAGCCATGGATCTCCCTGGAGCATGGGGTGGGGGCTTCTTGAAGAATGGAAGCTACTGAGTAGGAGGCGAGGTGAGAGGGAGCTGAGTCAGTGAGGGTCTTGGAAGTGGAAGTCACCTGCCCCCAGGAAGGGGTTTGGGGGAAGGGACAGAGTTTTATACTGCACAGGTTGTTTAAGTGATGAGGGGTGGTGTGGGTGGGGGAGGTGCCTGGCAAACCCACCTGGCTGTGGAATGTGCCTTCTACAAAGGCTCTTTGTCTGGGGACTTGGTTCAAGAGAAGCAGTGTTGCCACCACTCTTCTCTGTGCCCTCTTGCCTGCCCTCTCTGGGGCCTAGCTGTGCCCTTAGCTAGGGGTCACCTTGAGTAGGAGTTGAGGAGTTCTGAATGTCCTCCAGTGAAAGGGGAATGCCTGCAGCCTGGTGCAGAGAAAGTCGCAGGTGGGAGGGGGCTTGGCTCTCCCCAGAGTTCTCGGCTGATGTCTCCCAGGACTAAGAGGAAGTCTCCCGGGACTCCAGGCAGCAACCCCTTCCAAGCAGGCTAGAAGGGCTGAGTGCGTGGGGCTCCACTGGGGGGTGCTGAAACTGACAACTGAAATATTCCTGGAGGAAGGGCCGTGGTACAGGGAAGCCACACTGAACCCAGCAGTGGCCCTCAGCCATGTGGGGACAGAGCCACCAGCAGCAGCTTCAATCTTGTATCTGATCCCAGCTGCCGCCCTGCTATCTTCCAACCTCTCATTCTGAGTGGACATTTGGAATCTGGCTGGGGACGACTAGGACAAACTTGAATCAGGCTAGAAAGATGATGACTTGCACACAGGCCTCTGTAGACATCAGTTCAGGACACATTAGCAGTGCCATGAAACTCCCCTGGGTCCCAACTTAGCCACTTCTGACCTTCTCCGGTGAGGCTTCTGGGTTCTCTTAGAGTGGTGGGGCAGCGAAGGGAGTCCTGGGTATGTGGGATATAGGATAGCACAACAGGGTGAACACAGATTAAAGCCGTGCTCCCTTATTGGTTTATTCATTCATCCATCCATCCATTCATTCATTCATTCATTCACTCATCGTAAGTGTCAGGTACCTCTCTAATATTAGAGATACAAGAAAAATAAGCTAGTTTTTTCAGTCTGTGTAACCTATTCACTAGATCTGTCTGTCAACCTATAAGAAGATGGGTAAGAGCTTCTGGGGTCGGTAGCACTGGTTCTTTGGGTAAGAGCTGTGCCCACATTTAGGATGAGGGTGAGAGTAAGAAGTCATTTGTAGGGAACATGGGTTACTAGAAGTCACTAGGTCTCTGTCAGAAGAAAGTACTCAAGTGGCTCAGAGACCAGGCACAGGTCCCATGAGTCTTCGGAAGTCATGTTATACATTGGTATGAGAGGACATACTAAAGGTAGGTAGACTTCTCTTGGTTTTCTGAGGCCCCTGAACCTGCCCCTGCTCTCTCCCCACCCTGCTCCAGTGCCTTCCTGTCCCTTCACTCAGCCATCATCTCTACTTGCTCCATCTCCACAGGCCTTGATCCATGTTTTTCTGGGGCCTCCAACATCTGTGGTCCTGGGACCTGTGTGAACCTTCCAGATGGATACAGATGCATCTGCAGCCCTGGTTACCGGCTCCACCCCAGCCAGGACTACTGCACCGGTATTTACAGGGTGTCCTGTGCCTGCTGAGTGGTGGGGACAAGTAGGAACAGGGTGTGGGGACTGAGCCAAGAGGCCAGGCTGCATAAAATCCAAGTAAGGTGCTGTGGTTGATGAGCCTCAGAGAGCAGTCCCCGTGGACACAGCTAACTAGACCTTACCTTAGGCTGTGATCAGGCTGTGAGGCCACCAGACTCTAGGAGGAAGGATCCCCAGCCAGAACTAGCACCCCCACCCCCCATGTGGCCATGTTTCTGTCTGCAGAGCAGATCAAGGCCTCACCAAGGGCTGTCCCGTGGGGACATGTTTGAAGCCAAGATAAATCATCAGGTGTGTCATTCCTCCCTGTCTAGTGTTTTTGTGTAAAGGATAAACATTCGCTGGGAGCTTGAAGAAGAAAAGAAATGATTGTGGGGTCACTGAAGGAAGGGGGACAATGGGCAGGAAGGAGGCCCTGATCATCACCCAAGGGCTCCTAGTGCCTATGAGGCCCCAGCAGGGTGGCCTTGGAGACTTTCATCTCCGACTCTGCCTCCTCTGCTCCCTCACCCCTTCCATGCCATACAGCACCATCCTCTAGTGTGGGTGATTTGCTGTCAGATGTCTCCATGACCTCCCTCCCTGCCTCCTTCTGGCCAGATGACAACGAGTGTCTAAGGAACCCCTGTGCAGGAAGAGGGCGCTGTGTCAACAGTGTGGGCTCCTACTCCTGCCTCTGCTACCCTGGCTACTCACTAGCCACCCTGGGAGATACACAGGAGTGTCAAGGTAAGTCAGGCCTGCCTTAGGCCTGGGATGGGCATAGGAGAACACCTCTTTGCTAGGCCCTACAGTAGGGGAGGAAGAGGAGGCAGGCATGCAGAGTATTACCACTGTGTTGCCACTGGGGAGTACCAGAGTGATGGGAAAGGAAACTGCACTTCGGCCTTGATCTGAGAGGGAGCTGAGCTTTTCTGCTGAGTCATAAGGAGGAAGAGGAATCCAGAAAATAGTAACGTTTGCAAAGGCCTTAAGGAATTGTGTAGTTGGAGCCAAGACGAGGCCAGAGACTTGGCTGGTGATGGGGACCAAAAGCCAGGACTCAAGTGACAAGGAAGCTTTCCTTTTGGGGAATGGGGGTGACCCATGAGGATAGGAGCTTGAGCTCTCAGCAGACCAAGGGACATTTGGGAGAAGAGTTCTAATCCCCAGCAGTGGGGATACTTGCAGGCTCTGACCTTCCCCCAAGACGGCCTGGCCACAGTTAGGCAACTCTCGGTAAGCAGGCTTCCTGAATATTTAAGTTAGGGTTACTGTTGCTGTGATGAGTTCCCATGACCAAAAGCAACTTGAGGAAGAAAGAGTTTATTTAGTTTACATATCCTGAGTCACAGTGCATTGAGGGAAATCTAGGCAAAAACTCAAACAGGGCAGGGACCTGGAGGCAGGAGCTAATGTGGAGGCCAAGGGGGGTTTCTTACTGGCTTTCTCAGATACGTTTCTTTAGAACCCAGGACCACCATCCCAGGGTGGCTCCACCCACAATGGGCCCTGCCCTCCTACATCAATCACTAATTAAGAAAATGCCTTACAGGCTTACCTACAGCCAGATCTTACGGAGGCATTTTCTCAACTCCCTCCTCTCTGATGACTCTAGCTTGTGTCAAGTTGACATAAAACCAGAGCGAACTGTGCAAACCGTTTTATAACACAAACGCTCCTGGACATTTTTTTTTTTGCTCCTGTACATTTTATTGAAAAAGTTCACGAGGAAACAAGGACGCATCTTCCCCACAGTGCCTGGAGACCCAGAAGCAGTTGGGAAATTTTCACTTTGAGAATGGCACTACCTGTTCTAGGGGATCACATTTCTAGCACTGGTCGGAGGCTTGGCCATGATCACAGGTCCCCCGGCGTGGCCGTGGAGTAGAGTCCTTCCATTGGCAGAGGCTCCTCAACGTCTGATTCCAAGGATCTGGCCTTCAGAATCCAAAGCCATCCAAGACCTCTCACTTCATTATGTGAGGAAGGAGGCAGAGAAGCCCCACCTGACAGGAGCTTGAGGGAACCAGGACTCAGTGAGAACTCCTCTCTGACTGAGTGGTCAGGTACCAGGCTAAAGGACTGAAGACAACCAAATACATGAGCAAGAATAATGACACCATTGAGGCAGATGAGCACGCGACTGGCTAGAGTAGAGAATCCGGGAAGGTTTCTGTGAGGGGTACTTGACCTGGGGTAGAATTTATAACAGCTCCCATTTAATGAGCACGTATTAGACCCAGAGCCACCCTCAGCGCTATTATATAAAGCCTATCATTCCCACCCTTGCAGTCCTTATTCCCACGTTATGCTTTAGCAAATGAAGCTTCAAAAGGTGAAACACCCACAGGCATCGCACCTAGTTACAGCAGCACCAGACACAGATCGAAGTCACGCCGTCTCCAAAGCATGGTTCGCTGCCCGTGACCCAATCCTATACATGCAGGGCACCAGGCACCCGAGGGGCAGCAGCAGGAGTAGACGGAGCTGGTAGCCCAGGGAAAGGCAACCATTTCCTGCACAGGCTAGCGTGGGGGCAGGCCTGGCATGCCCTGGGAATTATGATGATGTCAGGGTGACTAGAGTGTGGGCTTGGTAACAGAAGTGGCAGTGGGTGTGGCCAATCTGTGAAGTGACCCCAGTGCCAAGATGAACTATTTGGCCATTGCCCTGTGAGCCGTGACCGCCAGGAAGGTTTGTTAAGAGTAGCTGGTTCTGTCGTCTGGCTGTTGGGATGTAGGTGATGCATGTGGCCGTGTACAGAGCAGATGGCAGGGCCAGAGGAAAGGCAGGGGACAGGGCCTTTCCAGGCTTCGTGCAGCCTGGGCGGGGGCTGTGGCGAGAGGTCTCTGGAGGGAGCTAGCCATAGGCAAACCATGGCTGGTACAGTATTTCCAGTACTGGTCCAGACAAGCGGCTCTGTCCTGTACCAGCCTGGTGTCTGGATGTCTCTGCCAGCCCCGACAGCTGTAGGGACGGGAAGAACCTGAGGTCAGCCGAAGTGCTTGTGCTGCTGGGGCTTGGCTGCCATGCAAAGGCCCTAATCCAACTTAGCATCCATTTCCCGAATTTTACCAGTCTCACAAAAGCAGTGTTTCATCATTTTAATCTCATTGACTCTATGTATAAATTGATCTTTCTAAGCCATGAAATGTTTTAAGTTAATTTAAATAGAGATAAATGTAACTATTTAAATATTAGGGATTTATTTAATAGTTTGAATATAACTTGCCTTCGAATAAGTGTATATCTATCTCTTTGCACTCTGGCCTTTGGGTTTCCTCATGTGTTGAAATGCTTACTCCTGTCTTTTGTTTCTTTTCCAAGTGTGGTTGTTGCTTTTCCTTGTGGTTTTTCTGAGTGTACCTTGTGTATTCGGTGACAGCTTATTTATTTGGGGGATGTGAGGATGTTTATGTGGAGGTCAGAGGACAACTTTGTGGAGTTTGTAGAGAAAAATGGGAATGGAGACGAGGGTTCCTAATAGCCATGCAAAGATGGAGAAAGCGTCTTGGAAAAGGTAAATGAAGTGTGCAATATCTATGTGACATAACAAAACCATAAGGTAACATGGCTGAGTGGGCAAAGAGTTTACCACCCATGCCTGGCAACCCATAACCCACATAAATATGGAGGGGATAGACACTCCCAGCAGAGGCATGTGTGTGAACAGAGATTTGGAGACTAGACTCATGGGAATCGGCCATAGCTAAGATTATACCGGAGAGCATGGGCAGTGAGCAAATACAGCAGGGCTGGGGCCAGGTTTGTGAGCCAAACTGCAAGTAGGATTGGAGGCAGTAAGGAGCCAGGTAATAAGTCAGGGGAATAGCCTGGCCAAGACTGGACCAGGACAGCCAGGGTTTCCATCAGGCTTTCCCTTTCTCCTGTGTTGGCAGGAGAGCTTCTAGAGGAGGGTGTCAGTGTACTTTGGATAATGATATAAGCCATGCTTTGCAGACCCTTGGCTGCCTGCAGTTTTCTCTGTCCTTCTAAGAAGGTCCATCCATCCTTAATGAGAAACCTAGTGGTAGACTCCGTGTCTACCATACTAATGCTGGGGCAGGGAGAACTTTGTTGGCCCCCTCAGATCATACTATATGGACTGATACCTGACCTCGAGCCCAGGCCTCACATCAGGGGGAGAAAAGTTGCAAGTGCTCCCATGGGTCCTAGAAATAGCTATCCCTGGGCGAAAAGAACTCGAGGGGCCACAGGGTCTGACCAGTCCAAGAGCTGACCCAAAAATCCCATCAAGCAATCCTACTGCAGCACACGTGCTTTCCTTACCTAGCAGCCTTGTTCGTGGTCTCTGGGAAGGATGCCGCAGGACCAGGGCAGGCTTTGGCTCAGGACCATCCCGTGTGTTTGCAGACATAGATGAGTGTAAGCAGCCCGGGGTATGCCGTGGTGGGCGATGCAACAACACGGAGGGCTCGTACCACTGTGAATGTGAACGGGGCTACGTCATGGTCAGGAAAGGAGACTGCCAAGGTAAGGCGTGAGAACGCTGGGCCAGCCTGCCGCCCGGCACGCTACCCACCACCAGCTCCGCTTCCGCTGTTCCCCACTGAGTCCCTTCATGCTAAGCCAGTTCCCACGGCAGAGACGTGTCTATGGATCTCTGAGCCTTCCTGTCTTTTGGGTGATGCATTGGCATCCTGTATGCCCCCTGTAGCAGGGAACTACAAATCTATGTGACACCACAGGAATAAACATCTTTGCACATCTTGGCCCCGGCACCTTGGAAAATGTGTTCTCTTTGTATATAGCAGAGGAAGAGGTGATCTCTTTGGCACCTTTAGTCAGTCTTCTTACTAAAGTGTGTTAATACATAAACTCTCAGAGGGTGGACCATGTCTCTAGACAACCTGTTCATGGGCACCCAACAAATGCTGCTTGATGAATGAATGAATGGACAAATAGATCTCTCCTTTCCCACATACAGCTAAGAGATGGGCTAGGACATTGCTAGCTAGGATCCTCGTAGACGGGTTCGGACCTGCCGCTATCCCGTCACTAACCAGGTGAGACACTATCCTGTCTTACCTGGTTCCAGAGAGTCCTGGAAGTAAGGGGTGAGCTTGTGGACCCTGTAAAGGGGACACCTTTCCCCAGCCCACCACCAGGGAAGCAAAGTCCTAGGAGGTCTCAGCAAAGGGGAAACGGGGCTATGGGTATAGAACAGAGTGTCTCCACCCCAGTGCGTCGGTTTCTCTCAGGGCTCCCCTCTTAGTGCCCCTCCACCTAAAACTCAGGGCTGAGCATGATCCAAGCTGGAACCCATGCCCTTGTCCTTATTAGATCCATAGAAACAAGACAGCCTGGCATTTCCAGGAGGGTGCAGAGTGAATACAGCACTTGATAGGTACTTTCCATGTGCCAGCTGGCCGTGCTCGGGGCTTGGTAAGAGAGCCTCATCACAGCATTACGCACTTAACATCAGGACTTAAAAAAAAGAAAAGGAAATGAACCAGGAAATGCCAGAACACTGAAAAGATCAGGTTTATGCTAGCTGTCTGCCTTAAAGGGTGCAGGCTCCTGAGCAGACAGACCTGGGTTGCATTAATGTTCCATATTTGGAAATGGAAATTGCCACACTCATCTCAGAGGACTGATCAGCTAACAGACTCAGATGCACAGACACCTCAAGCACACTGTAAGGCCCTCTTGCTGTCATGTCCCTACTCCCCCACATTCGTGTCCTGCTACGGATGGCTCTGTCCCTCCGGAGGAAAGCTTCTAGACAGACACCTCATCTGGGAGGTCAGGCTGAGTTCTTGGCCCGGGGCAGACACTCTGGGACTGTTGAAAGAATGATGTAGTTTGTACACTTCCCTGGTCTCTACCAGTAACCACAGACCCTGCCCATCACCCCGGGAGCCCAGTCAATTTCCTCTCCCTTTCTTCTGTCTCCAAGAAGAAACTACTCTCGCCACTGAAACCTGACACCTCTGAGGAGAGATGGTGAGGTCTGGACAGTGGCCCGTGCAACAGTCTCAATGACATTTCCAGCATACCCAGGAGTCTGGGTTCCAAGGCACAGACAGTGGCTTTTCCTTTACACTGCCAGGGCCTTGTCTGTCCCCCACTCTTACCCGCGGTCCCCTGAACTTCTGGCTCCTGCCTGCCATTCCCACTTGGTACTCTCACCAGGAACACGGGTGGGTACCCTCACAGCTCCCCACTCAGAGACTGGTCCCTGGAGAGATGCCCAGGCATCCTCCCTGGGTCTGGATGGCAGACTCACAGATTAGTCCCTGTGTGACCATTCCTTTGGATCCCTTCAGCAGTCTCTTAAGCAGCCTTATACTAAGAGGATAATGTTTGTTATCTTAGGCACATTGTTTCGTCTTTTGGTCGGCAAGCATTTGTTGAGTGCCAGCTGTGTGTTAGCCATGGGCTAGGAATACAGCAATAAATATTTCCCAAAACAAACCAGAATATTGGAATCTACCGAGGCATACCATAACCTTAGTTAAAATTCAAACTCTTGCCTAGGCAGAAGAATCTCTACCCAGCGATAGGCTACACTTAAGCTACCGTTTGAGCTTGTCTAACAGCTCGGTTCTATCCATTCCCATTCAGGGATGTTTCCCTGGCTTAGGTGGAGACTAGGGGCTGTTCTGGTCTTACAACCTCTCTTCTTTCCTCCCTGACAGACTTCTCATGTCAATGTCATTCCCTGGGGCTCTGCTCTAAGAAGAAAGCTAGGAATAGTACAGCAGCTTGCATTAGGATCTGCTTCACTAACAACCAAACCCCAAATCAGGAATGGAGGACATAGCCAATCTTCTCTCTCATCAGTGTCTTGTGTCTACAAGAATCAGTTGAGAACTCTGACGTAGGCTTCCTTACTCTAGTACTAGACTAAAAGGATAGCCAATGTCTGGAAAATGCCCAGTCCCCATGAAAGAAAAGGACACTCAAGGGTTGCATGCAATGAAATGCTTTGGTTCACAACTTACCTACATCATATCCACTCAAATCCTATTGGCTAGCACTATCTTTTGGTGCTACCCATCCACAAGGGACCAGGAAGCAAAAACATGCCACGACCCAAAAGTAGGCTATTTTTTGAAAACTAGTGAGTTCCATGTGCCCTAAATGCCCAGCATCCCAGGCTACATACACCTTCCACAGATGCACCTGACACATTGCAGGTAGGACAGACTCAGGGTCCTTTCCTCTTGGCAGATGCAGGCTTCCTACCTTGCTTGATGTCACCAAGGGGATGTGAAGGACCATTCCAAACAATCCAGTCTAAAACATGCAGCTCCCTGACTTCCCACACCTAATGGTACCCACAGACTACTGCAGCGACCTGGGGAATCTTTCCATTTTTAAGTCCTTTCATTTATCTTTGCTTTAGGATTGGGAGTGGGAGGTGGGGTTGGGAACACAGGGCAACTCATTTTTTCCTACTGTTCATCTATACAGAAATCGACATTCATTTCCCCACAGGGCAGGGCCAAAGATTTGCAGACAGGAAATACCCATGGGTTGTGGTTCTCAGAGATGACCTAGGGAGGGACTGTTGTTTTACAGATATCAACGAATGCCGTCACCCGGGAACCTGCCCTGATGGGAGATGCGTCAACTCCCCTGGCTCCTACACTTGTCTGCCCTGTGAGGAGGGCTTCATAGGCCAGAGTGGAGGCTGTGTAGGTAAGGGCCGATTGCCAAGGCACTGGGAGGGTTATTTAGCCTTGGGTTTGCCGGTTGAGCCCACACACAGGGAGGGGAAGAGGTGGGCAGACAGAAGGAGCTTAGAGGGCATCGTCCCCCATCATCCGGTTGGGTTCTCAGACGATGCTGAGCATGACATGGGTGTGCTTTGGTTATGAGACTCTGCCCTCTGAATCAGCTAGGGTGGGTCCTCTGCTGCTGCTTAGCCACATCCGTTCTACCCCAAAGTGCCAGAAGCTCCTGTGGTTGGCTTCTGTGGACCGGGATGAGAAGCTAGAGCCAGCCCCCAGGCCCTCTGCTTTCCTACGCAAAAGTGCTACATAAGGAACACCACACGCCGAACAGCAGTGGTGCTTCTTGTTCCCAAAACAACTCCGTGTCAGTGGGAAGAGGAGTGCTCTTTCCCCTCGGCCCCCGCAGGAAAAAAGGCTTCTGATGCCAGGAGGGGCCATGTTTTGAATAGATGCTTTGAGGCTTGTGAGAGGGCAGAGGGTTCCCAGGCCCTCAAGACAGCCACAGCCACCCAGGCCTGGCCTGGCCTTTCTCCACACTGCCCACCCATGTACTGAAACTGTTTGTTGCATGAGGAGCATAGTTTCTTAGTGGCAGGTAAGAGATTAGAGAAGATCAGACTCATGACAGAATGAATCAAGGGTCTTGGACACCTTATTTCTAGTGCCCCAGGTGACTTCGTCTTCCAGGGCTAGAAAGGGTGTTCTATATTACTGCCGGGAGCTGAGGAGCACTTGGGAGTGTATGGCCCTGCTTCGCCTAGATGAAATAAAGGAGCATGGCTTTCCAGCTCTCCAGGGCCGGCCTACATTCCCCCTGAAGCCTGGTTCCATGGACTCTCAACTGAGATGATCCAGGGTTGCTGGAGTGGGGAGTAGTGCCTGGAAGAAAGGAGCAGTGCCCCATCCCGGACTTTATCCGCAGATGTGAATGAGTGTCTGACCCTTGGAATCTGTGCCCATGGAAGTTGCATCAACATGAAAGGCTCCTTTAGATGCTCTTGTGATCCGGGCTATGAGGTCACCCAGGACAAGAAGGGCTGCCGAGGTACAAAGATGTAGCAGCATCATTCTCACACAGGCAAACCAAACCCTCAGCGTCCTCCCCTCTGGATGCCAATCCCTGAAGCCACCCTGCACTAGCCCACCAGGCCCAAGGCCTACCCTACCCTTGCCCAAACCTGGGCTTGTGACCCTCCCTGCCCACCTATTTGTCTCTGGATGTCTGTTGTTTTGTTTTGTTTCGTTTTGTTTTTTGAGACAGGGTTTCTCTGTATTGTTTTGGAGGCTGTCCTGGAACTCGCTCTGTAGACCAGGCTGTCCTGGAGCTCACAGAGATCCGCCTGCCTCTGCCTCCCGAGTGCTGGGATTAAAGGCGTGCACCACCACCGCCTGGCTGTCTCTGGATGTCTGCTCTGCAGAGTCCCATACAGAACTCAATGTCCTGTTTCAGATGTGGATGAGTGTGTCAGCCGAGCCTCGTGCCCCACGGGCCTCTGCCTCAACACCGAGGGTTCCTTCACCTGCGAAGCCTGTCAGAGTGGGTACTGGGTGAATGAAGATGGCACTGCCTGTGAAGGTAATACAAGACAGACAGTGACAGAAGGGACAGAATGTAGGTCTCCCTCCTATATGTGTCCTCAGCCTTGGGCTGATCCTGGGGGTCTCCAGGTTAGGTTAGAGGGAACTTGGCCCCAAGAGAGCATCTATTGTCATAACTTCCAAATTCAGAGATGAGACAAATGACCACAGAGACAAGAAGGAAGCTAAAGCTGCATATAATCGTGCATGTCTATAACCCCAGCACTTGGGGGTGTAAACAGGAGGACCAGGAGTTCAAAGCCAGCTTTAGTTACATAGTGAGTTTGAAACCAGCCAGAGCTGTGTGACACCCTGTCTCAAGAGAGGTAACCTGGGGGTAGGACTGCCCATGGAGATTTCTAGGAAGGAAGGGAAGGGGGCGCATTATAGAATATGGCTAGGGTTTGCCCTTGTCTAGAGGCCCAGAGTGTTCCTCAGACTCAGAGATGGTCAGGAGGTGTTGTGAGGGAAGGCTTCTGTGGTGGGACTGCCCGCCAGGGTCCATGGCCACAGTTGTCTATCTGCCTAGACCTGGATGAATGTGCCTTCCCTGGAGTCTGCCCCACAGGAGTCTGCACCAACACTGTGGGCTCCTTCTCCTGCAAGGACTGCGAACGGGGCTACCGGCCCAGGCCCCTGGGCAACACCTGTGAGGGTAAGAGACCCCTTGCCGTGAGGATAGCACAGACAGGACACAGTAGACTAATGTAGTATTTACAGGAAGGAACAAGAACTCCCCCTTAGACCTAGGATAGTGGGCTGGGGACACCTATTCCTACCTCCTCCCCAAAAGGAAAGTGGCTAGATACCGGTTGTCACCACCATGAAGGCACTAGCGCACAGGCTACAGGGTCCCAGCAGCACCCAGGGACAAGAGACACATGGGGTTTCTTGGGCCTTGGCCTACACTCTGGAGACTCAGTTACGACAAGATTCTAGAGCAGTGGTTCTCAACTTGGGAGTCAAATGACCCTTTCACAGGGGTCGCCTAAGATCATCAGAAAACACAGATTACGATTCATATGATTCATACATAACACATTACTATCCATAACAGTAGCAAAATTACAGGTATGAAGTAGCAATGAATATAATTTTATGGTTGGGGTCACCACAGCATACAGAACTGTGTTAAAGGGTTGCAGCATTAGAAAGGTTGAGAACCGCTGCTCTAGAGTTCCCATGGTGCTTTGTAATAGTGTTAGTAATGTCTGTAATCCCAACACTTGGCATTCCTTGTCAGGATAAGGAAAAGGCCAAGGCCAACCAGGCTACAGAGGGAGAGAGAGGGGTGAAGTGTGTGTGTGTAGGGCCGGGGCAATGAGTACAGGACAGGTCAGTTTGATGGTCCAGGTTTACAATCCTAGCACTTAGGAAGTAGAAACAGGAGGATCAGGAGTTCAAGGTCATCTTTGGCTATCTAGCAAGTTAGAGGCAAGGTCAGTGTTAACTACATGAGATCCTATCTCAAAACAAACTCACAAACAAGTAAAAGAGAGTTTCTGTTACCTTCTCAGGTTCCCTGTATCTGTTTCCTTGGTTTCTTTTCCATTGCTTCTCAGCCAAGACAGGGGGTGGAGCTTTGGCTTCCCTAGGCCAGGACTATTGGGCATGAAGGAGCCCAGCCAGAGCACATGGAAAGACCTGTTGTCACCCCGCTCCCTGTGGCCGCTCAGGCAGGTGATAGGGCCTCTAGAGATATTTCCCTTGGACTTGTCCTTGGAAGGTGCCACCATCAGCTGCCTCCTCCCCTGTGTGGCCCTACAGATGTGGATGAGTGTGAAGGTCCCCAGAGCAACTGCCTGGGAGGAGAGTGCAAGAACACAGAAGGTTCCTACCAGTGCCTCTGTCCCCAGGGCTTCCGGCTGACCAATGGCACTGCGTGTGAGGGTGAGTGCCCCAAGTGTCCCCATCAGGAACTGGGGACAGTGAGTATCTGCACCCTAGAGACACTCCCTTCTCACCTTGCCCCGGCAGACATGGACGAGTGTGCTAGGGAGGAACACTGTGCTCCTCACGGCGAATGCCTCAACAGCCAGGGATCCTTCTTCTGCCTCTGTGCCCCTGGCTTTGCCAGTGCTGAGGGGGGCACCAGATGCCAGGGTAAGACGTCAGTGTGGTCCTGTCTAAGGTCCACCGGCACGGGTGTCAGAGGCTGGGCCTAGAGTCCCAGCTGAATACCGTTGCTGAAGTGAATAGTTTGCTCACAGCCTACCCGGGGAGGAGAAATTGGGAAGGCCGGGGAGAGGTTTGCAAGGAAGGACTCAGAGTTTGCAGGGGGACCTCTCTGCGATGCCTGTGACAGGTGTGCATGCTCTCCAGAGTCTCAGTGTCACCTTCTGCTAGCCCTAAAGCTCCCCAAGCATGGCCTAGACAGTCCTGTGGTCTTCCTACCCCGAGCTTCTCCTTGGCTCTCCTATCATAAGCTTCTCGTGGTCCAAAGGAAGCGGCTCAGGGCTCTAACAAGCTAGAAAGAGACCCATGCTGCATCTGCTGACTGGCGTCTCTCTCCTAGATGTTGATGAATGTGCAGCCACAGACCCATGTCTGGGAGGTCACTGTGTCAACACAGAGGGCTCCTTCAACTGTCTGTGTGAGACTGGCTTCCAGCCCTCCCTGGACAGCGGAGAGTGTGTGGGTAAGGACTCCAGGGGCTGGACGGGACTCTGCCTCCTTTCTGCCCACCTCTGTGGTCCTTAGCTCCTTGGAACACGGAACATAGCTTTCCAAGAAACACAGCATTTTCCACAGAATCCGAAATATGATGTGTTTATTGAAATTCTGGTGGCCCAAGGACTGTCTGAGGCTGGCATAATAAAGACAGTCATAACCTTTGTGCCAGCAGAGGGCACAAGGTAGTTTTAAAAGCCAAATCCATTCAGCAGATATGAAACACCTGCTATGTTCAATGTCTTGTCATAGGAAAGATGCTTACGGACAATCTTGAAATCGAGTAAGGGAGATAAATATTGGAGAAAGCTCCCTGCACCCCACTGTGGTGAAAACTGTAGAGCACTCTGAGCTCCCCAGATGGTGTAGAGTTCTCCTCTGAAATGCTCAGTCCTGCTGGGTCAGGGGAAACTATCCTGAATTAATCTCCCGAGGCTGAGATGAGCATGATTTGAAAGGGACTAAGGACCTCAGGGGTTGTGGGCTATGAGTTTGTAATGTCAGCAAGGTGGGGCCAGAACGGTGACCAAGCCACACATCTGTCCCCTCTTCATGGCTCTGGGGACAGATATTGATGAGTGTGAGGATGAGGAAGACCCAGTGTGTGGAGCCTGGAGGTGTGAGAACAGCCCTGGTTCCTACCGCTGCGTCGCGGGTTGCCAGCCTGGCTTCTACATGGCCCCAACTGGAGACTGCATTGGTGAGCAGGGGCAGGGAGATAGTGGTGGGAGGACTGAGGACGGCCGAGGACATCTGGTTTTCCCTGTGTTCAACTAGAAACAGTTTCTCCCAAGAATGCTGTTTGAGCAGTTTGAATTCTGTATATTTTCCATACAGCAAAACTTACACAGAAATCGAAGAAGAATGTTGCAGTTACAGCTTTCTTGTGCTGGGTCCAGGGGTTGTTTTCTTGTTTGGTTTTGCTTTTTGCTTGTTTTTGCAAATCTTGGTGTTAACAGGCCAGATAAATGAGTACTTCCTGCAAACGGAGAGCGAGCATGCATGTGCTCTACCCTAGCCTCCATTATTCCACAGACATAGATGAGTGTGCCAACGACACCGTGTGCGGAAGTCATGGCTTCTGTGACAATACGGATGGCTCCTTCCGCTGCCTGTGTGACCAGGGCTTCGAGGCTTCACCCTCAGGCTGGGAATGTGTTGGTGAGAAGCCTGTGGGCTACCCGAGGTCTGGGCTAGAAAAGGCCCTTGGGCCCTTCTCGTTTCTACCAACTTCTTTGTTGAAAGGAAGTGCTGGGACCCTCTCACAAAACATTCCTGTTTTCATGGCTCCATGCTGGACCCCAAAGGGTGGACAAGGTCAAGGGGGGGGGGAGAATTCCCCTCCAGCCAGCATTGCTCCTGGGCTGGTAGGAGATGACCAGTCCTGCACAAGAAGGAAGAGACCTCCTGCCCCACTCACTTCCCTGGAGAACTTGGGGCCTCAAGAGATGCCCAGAGGAGGGACCTCTCTCCGTTCACTGTTACAACCATTTCCAGCAACTCCTCCCCTCTCTTCCCTCCATGCCCTCTGCCTATCAGTCCCCTCCCTGCTAATTCATATCCACTTTTGCTTCTTCCAATGAGAACCTGCCTAGCTGGGCTGGAACCAGGGGCAGGGTGCATTAGCTACCCCTTCGCTGTACACGAGTCTGTCTGTCCTTGTGTCTGGCAGACGTGAATGAGTGTGAGCTCATGCTGGCAGTGTGCGGGGCTGCACTCTGTGAGAACGTGGAAGGCTCCTTCCTGTGCCTTTGCGCCAGTGATCTTGAGGAATTTGACGCACAAGAAGGACACTGCCGTCCTCGGGGAGCTGGAGGTGAGACCTGGGAGACTCAGGCCCTTCCCTTCCTGCCACTTTCCACGCAGACTCTGACTACGAAAGGCGTCTACTGATGTAGCTCCTGGCACTTAGTAGGGTGTGTTGGGCCAGTGTCGGGAGTATGGTTAGGAATGGATTATGGAGGGGACAGGAGTCTGAGTGCCACGCGTGCCAATTCCTGCCAGACAACATTCCCACTGCTGGTCTAGGATGGACCTAGGGGAATTCAGGCGCTATGGCATGTACAGTAGCCCTCAGGGACCTCAGACTGAGTTTAGTAGAGACCCCCAAATCCACCCAATCCTTGGTTGGAGGGGCCCTGAAGCTGAGCTAAGCTGAACCCTATTCTCCCCATTGCCACTCTACCCAAGGCTGGACCAGGACCCAGCTGGCTTCAATGACTTGGAAAAAACACGGGGAGCTTTGTAAGGGAAAATGGAGGGGAGAAAGGTTTGGGGTCCCTGAGAAGCAGAAGGGACCAGCAGGGTGTGCCAGGGATGGGTACTGCCCATGGGGGTTGTGGGCAAATAGTACACTAGAAACATCGGGGGTTTGGGCATCAGACCCCCCATTTCATCCCATAATAACTCCTTAAATGGAACTTCTTAGGTGCAGTTCCTTTGTAGTAGGGGAATGATAGCAGTAGCCACTCCTAGGGATGCTTAAGGGTACCACATGAGATAATGTACACCATAAGGATGCTATACAGACATTGTATTTCAAAGATCAATCTGGTAGCAGGAATGCCTTAGAGGGTCATGAACAGACAGTAATAAGGGGCTTCTGTCACACACAGCTCAGAGAATCCCAGAGGTCCCAACAGGGGACCCGGCTCCAGGCCTCATCCGCATGGAATGCTACGCTGAGCATGGCGGTGGTCCTCCCTGCTCTAGCATCCTGGGCCAGAACTCCACACAGGCTGAGTGTTGTTGTACGCAGGGTGCCAGATGGGGGAAAGCCTGTGACCCTTGCCCATCTGAGGACTCAGGTAAGGCCTCAAGGGCTACAAAGACTCTTAGGGTCAGTTTGCAGCGTGACACTTGCGTGATGGCAGGTGCCTGTAACTCCAGCACTCTGGAGGCTGAAACAGAAAGACTGTGGGTTTGAAGCAAGTCTGGGCTACAGAGAAAATAGAGGCCAACCTCTATTATATAATTAGACCCTTTAAAACTTGGGGGTGAGCTGAGCAGTGGAGTCACACACCTTTAATCCCAGCACTTGGGAGGCAGAGGCAGGTGGATCTATGTGAGTTCAAGGTCAGCCTGGTTTACAGGGAGTTCCAGGACAGACTCCGAAGCTACACAGAGAAACCCTGTCTCAAAAAAATAAAAATGGGTGTGGGGAGATACACCATTACCTCTCTGAACTTGGATCCCTTCCTACACAGCTGAATTCAGTGAGCTCTGCCCCAGTGGTCAAGGCTACGTCCCCGTGGAAGGAGCCTGGACTTTTGGACAAACCATGTACACAGGTGATCCCCTCAACTGCCTCCTCCTCAGAATCTACCTGGCCCCGTAAACCCTGGCCTAGTCTTCTATGAGATCCCAGGAAATCTACACCAAGCCCTGGCTTCCAAGTAGTTTTGTCTTTTGGGGTCTGGAGCTTCTCTGTCCCTGATACTTTTAGCTGGAAAGTTTTTAACCAAAATCCTCCTGGAGTGTTCACATGACCCTGAGCTCAGTTTCCCTGCACCCTCAAGTCTGGAGGGTGCACTATAGTGTTTAACCTCACCTCCACCACACTGGACTCAGGGACACACTGAGGGTACAGCACTGCCACAAGGTAGTGGTTCACCTACCAAAGCAGAAACTTCGGGGTGCTCATACTCTTATTGGAGAGTTTCAGGTACTGGGCCCCTTGGTGACTTATTCCCAAAGCTAGTCCTGAGAAGGAAATAAATGAAAACGGAAGTGTGCGTGTGTGCGTGCGTGTGCTTGTGTGCGCTTGTGCGTGTGTGTGCTTGTGTGTGTGTGGTGTTGCTGGGAATAAAACCAATGGCTTCATGCATGCAAGGCAGACACTGTACCACCCAACACCCAGCCCAACAAGTAGCTTTTCATGGGTGCTTGCTATGTACCAAGAACTAGTAAAAGGGCCTTGTGGATATTAGCACTTCTTAATCCTCATTACAAGGGGTTAAGCAGTATTTAGAGGAGAAACTGAGTCGAGAGGAACCTAAGCAACTTGTCCAACTCACTTGAACATCTGGGTGTAGAGCATCTATCTGTAAGCTTCCCTTCTTGCTGTTTCTTCCCTTCTGCCTCAGACGCCGATGAGTGTGTGCTGTTCGGGCCTGCTCTCTGCCAGAATGGCCGGTGCCTCAACACAGTCCCTGGCTACATTTGCCTGTGCAGCCCTGGCTACCACTACGATGCCTCCAGCAGGAAGTGCCAGGGTGAGGACTTACATGGGCCTGCCATCCCCCAGTCCCACTCTTACTGAGAGTCCCCCTTCCTGGGAAAGATGCCCCTGCAGCAGGCGGGTTTGAGCTGAGGGGAGCTCTGTGCTGTCAGATATTGTATCTAGAGGGAGCCCTTCCAGTATGGGCATCTTCATGGGCCTCCCTAGGCAAACCCTTCTGTGAGCATTGTCTGTCAAAAGGCCACTCTGACCCTGTTGTACCTGTCCTGACACCACAGATCACAACGAATGCCAGGACATGGTCTGTGAGAATGGTGAGTGTGTGAACACAGAAGGCTCCTTCCACTGTTCCTGCAGTCCCCCGCTCACCCTGGACCTTAGTGGGCAGCGCTGTGTGAACAGTACCAGCGGCACAGGTGAAGAGATGGGGGTGTGGGCAACGGGGGCAGGGACCTGACCCGGGACTCACATTCTTCTGGGGTTGTGTGCCACCAGAGGACTTCCCTGACCATGACATCCACATGGACATCTGCTGGAAGACAGTCAGCAATGACGTGTGCAGCCAGCCCTTGCGTGGGCACCATACTACCTATACCGAATGCTGCTGCCAAGGTGGAGAGGCCTGGAGCCAGCAGTGTGCTCTCTGTCCCCCCAGGAGCTCTGGTAAGACGAGCCTGCGGGTCTGGGTGTGACTCTGGGAAGCGGGTGCTATGAGGGCAATCTGAGCAGTGACTTTGCCCTCCATCCCAGATGTTCAGCACATAGGGAGGTGTGAGCATGGTTAGGAACCCCCACATGTTCTCTTCTTGGGCAAAGAGCGGGATGATCCGGCTCACCGAGCTTTAGCTAGCTGGAGGTAAAATCCAGCTCCCTTTCTCCTTCCTCCCCAACAGAAGTCTATGCTCAGCTGTGCAACGTGGCTCGGATTGAGGCAGAGCGGGAAGCAGGGGTCCACTTCCGGCCAGGCTATGAGTATGGCCCCGGCCCAGACGATCTGCCATACAATCTCTATGGCCCAGATGGGGCCCCTTTCTACAACTACCTGGGCCCCGAGGACGCGGTTCCTGAGCCTCCCTTCTCCAACGTGGCCAGGCAGCTGGGAGACAACACACCAGTCCTTGAGCCCCCTTTGCAACCGTCTGAACTTCAGCCCCACTACGTGGCAAGCCATTCAGGTATGTGCAGCCCCACTACGTGGCAAGCCATTCAGGTATGTGCAGCCCCACTACGTGGCAAGCCATTCAGGTATGTGCAGCCCCACTACGTGGCAAGCCATTCAGGTATGTGCAGCCCCACTACGTGGCAAGCCATTCAGGTATGTGCAGGAAAACTGGAGAAGAGGTGGGCACAGTGTTCCCTTCATCCCCTCCACCTGCCTGCCACTTATACTGCTGGTGGGGTGAAGACAGGGAAGGGGAAAGACACTGGTCATGGTCACTCAAGACTTAACGCCACAAGGCTTGGGTCCGACACTGCCATATGTGTCTATTACTCTAAACCTTCAGGAGAGTATGGCTTTTCGTCTCAGTGTCTTTCTTTAGGCCTGTTAAGATCCACCAACATGGGGGCTGGAGAGGTGGCTCAGTGGTTAAGAGCACTGGCTACTTTTCCCATCCTGAGTTCAATTCCCAGCAAGCACGTGGTGGCTCACAACCATTTGTAGTGAGATCAGGTGCCCTCTTCTGGCATGTGGGCAAACATGCAGACAGAATACTGTATACTTAATAAATCTTAACAAAAAAGATCCACAGCCCCACCGTTGGCACTCAGCAGTGACAACCTTTGTACTGGAGGGTGTAGGTCCTAGTGAGAGACTGGGTCCCACAGGCTTCAGTATTGTTCTCTCTGACCCTCTCAGAACCGCTGGCTGCCTTCGAAGGGCTTCAGGCTGCGGAATGTGGCATCCTGAATGGCTGTGAGAATGGCCGCTGTGTGCGTGTGCGGGAGGGCTACACTTGTGACTGTTTTGAAGGCTTCCAGTTGGATGCAGCCCATATGGCCTGTGTGGGTAAGTTTGGAGCAGTGAGCATGATCTCTACCATAGGACTGAGCTTAGGAAAACTGGGAAATGCGCTGCTGCCCCCTAGTGGGCATGTGTCAAGCTAGTGATGGTGGAAGCGCCAAAGGAGGGTTTAATGCTACCTGGGAAAGTTCTTCTACCTGGATGGTCCCCAATCGAAGAGAAGCTGGGACAAGAAGTCATGGTCCTAGGCATGCTAAGAGATCCCTGCTTCTTGGTCTTGTCCCTAAGTCTCTGGCTTGGGGAGGGGGAGGTGGGGCAGCCTTTGGGTGTCATATCCAGGGTAGGGAGTTGGGGTTGGTGAACAGAGAGCCCCCTACAGCTTTCTTTTTTGCTTCCATAGATGTGAATGAGTGTGAAGACTTGAACGGGCCTGCGGCCCTCTGTGCGCATGGTCACTGTGAGAACACAGAGGGCTCCTATCGCTGCCACTGTTCCCCAGGTTACGTGGCAGAGCCAGGCCCCCCACACTGTGCGGCCAAGGAGTAGAAGTGAGGGGTCCCTGTGAGCAGCTATCTGGAAATGGCTTCAGCCAAAGGCTGGGAACTTATGATTGCTTCCCTGGCTGGAAAGACATCGTGGCTGGGAGGACAGCGGGATGACATCAGGCCAGGGCTCTGTAGCCAGGTTCTGCCAGCCTTGCCTGCTTGATTCTTATTTCTTCCAGCTTAGCTCTGGTTGTGAGCTTCCGTCACTGCCTCTATGCCATTGCTTGGCTCAGACACCACAAATATGTTAATGCTTCAGTCACTGGCCATGAGACACAGCCTACCAACCTGTCTGTCCTTGGGGACTCACTGTAGGATGTCCATCAGAAGAGGCTTCATCCACGCCACTTAGGCTGGGCAAAAAATGCAGGCACCCCTCTCCAACTGTGTCCCACACATCATCCTGATGAGTCCATAATTGGGACAGCAGCCACATCTGCCCCAGGGCGGCCCTTCACAATCTGTGGAGCAAGACAGGGTTTGGAAAAGCTGGGGGATAGCTCCAACACCACCTCTCTCAAGTAGAATCTGGAGTGAGCACACCTCCACCCTGTAGAGAGTCTGTGGCCCTGGAAGGGACCAGTTTCCCTCATCCCAGAGGATGAAGACTAATACTAACGTGCTGAGAGTAAGAAACAAACGAAGAGGAATAAGGAGCCTGAGAAAGCAGCAAGAGAGCTGTACAAAAACCATGGGGAGCTGATAGGAATGGAGGAGCCAAGTTTTATAACAATCTACAAACACTGAGTAGCTTTGGGCAAGCGAGTACTTGAAGCCACCCTATAGCCACTGTGTGCCAGCAGTGCGGGTTGTCACAGAGTCCTTCATTAGATACAAATGTTCCCTTCAGGAACCAAATCTTTTGTGAAACCCAAATTTATGGGCTAACAATACAAAGGTCTCTCTTGAATTGTATTGACCATGGAAGCCAGATTTTCAGTGTTGTTTATCTCCTCTACTCAGAAGGCCTTGCCTTTGTTCCCTTCAGAAAAAAAAAAATGAATGTCTGGAACTCCTCTAAGAGATGCACTTCCACACCAGCTAGCTGGGAATTCAGGAGCATGGCGGAATAAAGAAATGCTCACCCAGACTCTTCTGTGCTTGTGTTTATTTCCTATTATACCAACTTTACCTCAATCATTAGAAATGAACCTGCATGTGCTCTGAGTCCAGTCCCAGCAGCTCCCGGTGACTGGGCTCCAGTGTGGGAGGTTCGATACTGTCCTAAGACAAGGCAGACTCGCTGTGTCTCCCTGACTGGTGGTGATGTGACAAGGCTGCATGTGGCAGAAGACATGGAGATGACTGCTGCCTCCTAAATCTAGTCTGCGCTGTCCCGCCTGCTGCTCTGACGTCAACCGCTATGTAACTTATTGAACGCCTGCTATATTTGCACTGTAATGAGTGCTGTGCATAAATGTCATCTACTCATGCGACAATCTCATTTACTACCTTATTCCTATTTACAGGCAAGAAAACTGAGACACAGGAAGCCTGGATAATTTTCCTTAGGCCACTGTCCCAGTTGAAGTATCCTCAGCAGACTAAAACCAATGGTTCCCAAATCAATGAAAATATCCTTTTGTTTCTAACAGAAATGTCACTTATAGTGCAGTGAGAGATGGGGATTTAGCTCAGTTGATAGAGTGCTCGTCTGGGGTGCATAACATCATGAGGTTCTCTTCCTAACCCAGCAGAGGAAGGGGAAGAATAGTGAAGATGCTTCTTAAAGATGGACTGAGATCTAAGTGGCTCAGATGCCGGTGGCAAGCCTCTGGTGAAACAGGCACACTCATCACAGCCGATGGAGGTGTGTGCTGTCCATCTGCAGAGCACACCATGGTCATGTCCTTCACAAAACTAGCGCTTTGACCCAGAAACTCCACGTCTAGGACTTTAGCCTTCAGATATATTCTCACCAAATACGAAATCACTACCTTAGAGGTTATTTATTACAGCTCTATGTGTAATAGCCGAGGATTAGAAATGACTGCTATGGGATGCTTAAGGAAGATGTCTAAAGACCCTGTCAACAAGGATATCCCGGCCAGATTGGGGGAGGGGCTGCAGAACAGCATGGAAGATGTGCTGCTGTTGTCTCAAGAGGAATGGTCCTCTGGTAACCTCCTTCAGAGAATGTCCCACCATGCCCAAGCATGTCCCATTGGCACTGCACACTTGCCCTCGGAGTCCCCACCCCTCGTCTCCCTGTTTAGCATTTAGACATGCTGCATGCACACACACAGTGCCTTTTATTAAAAACAGAAATAATATACTGTGCATGCTGTTCTGCAGTGTTCCCCCTTTCTTCTCCTCCTCCTCCTCCTCTTCCTTCTCTTCCTCCTCCTCCTTCTTTTTCTTTCTTTTTGAGACGGAATTTTACCAAGTAGGCTGGGCTAGCCGAGAACAAACGATCTTCTGCTTCCTTTATGCTAGAACTACAGGTGTGGACCACCACATCCAGCTACATTATTTAATTCTACACTTGCTCATAAAGAATTATCTCATGTTGCCTAGTGTTGTAGTACACACCTAGAATGCCTCCATTCAGAAGTCTGGGGCAAGAGGACCGTGAGAATTAGGACAACTTGAGCTATCAAACAAGACAAAATAATAAACAATGGTCTCACTCTATTCTATGGAATGGATAAGGCATAATTTATTCAACCAGTGCCTCACTGGCAGACAATTCCACTGCCTATCTTTGCTCGTGATGTTATAACGAGTACTCCTGTATATATGTTATTTCATGTTATATCTATAACTATGGGATTAAATTCTTGAATACAATATGGTTTATAAGGAGAGTGATAGGGTGGATAAATAAAATACTAAGATTTTTTCACTGTATTGCTCCCTCCTTTAAATTTGTAGATGTATTACCTACTCAATAAATATAAAATATTTTTTAAATACAGCTACTGGCTAACCACTGCTTCAATGCTCTTTCCTTTTATATATTTATCTATTAAAGCAATCATTTTTAAATATATTTAGCAAGTTTCCATCAAGCAGCTCTGTAGTGTCTTCATGGGGGAAGATAGCCAAGAGAGCAATGCAGACGAGCTCCTAGAGGGCAAGAAGAGCACGGGAGATCTCTGCTCTCAGCAAGCACACCAGCTGTAATGCCACACTGGGCCCTCCGAAGGCCAGCTCTGAAACATCATCTCGGAGACACAGGGAGGGCTAGCCTACTCCTTCTACCTGGTTGCACCTGCTAAGTGCCAGCCGTTCTCTGAGCCATTGTAACAAAAGACCAAAGATTAAAGCAAACATCACCCAAACACCCTCTTCAGCAGCCCCTATCTCCCCTGCACCCCCATCAAAATAAGCAACTTTAGTGAACTTACAATGCACATTCATGGAAACACACAATTACCGAAGGAAACCATACTTGACATTGTCTAACAAGGCTCTCCAAGCTTGTTCCTTGGCGAACAGATACTTAAGGTAAGGAATTAAGCAAAGCCTTCACCCTGTCTTCCCAGCACCGTTGGCTTGGAGCAACATTTGCTTTCCTCTCATACACCCTTTCAGCTGGTTGGACGTGCTCTCTAAGTCTTGACAAGAACCCCAGAGAAAGCTCTCGTGCATCACGTCCCTGCACAGGGCCTTCTGATCGGTCATGCTTAGTGAAGTACATGGCCACATCTTCAAAAGTCACTGATTTCCCAGGTTCGCTCTTGGGAGACAGCTGCGGCTATCAGATCTTTTATTCCTGTCATACACGAAAGCAAACATGTCAGTACAAGGGCTCTAAATAGCAAATGGACAATGACACCACACAGCCACTGTCCCCAAACAAACTCACAAGCATTAGTAGTCCTTACTAATCTCTTTTTTTAAAGATTTATTTATTTATTACATATACACCAAATTGATTTGTAGATGGTTGTGAGCCACCATGTGGTTGCTGGGAATTGAACTCAAGACCTCTGGAATAGCAGTCAGTGCTCTTAACCTCTGAGCCATCTCTCCAGCCCCCCTTACTAATCTCTTGCTTCTGAACAGATTTCCTCCTAATCTCTTTTTTTAAAGATTTTATTCATTAAGTATACAGTATTCTTCCTGCATGACTGCCTGCAGGCCAAAACAAGGCACCAGGTCTCATTACAGATGGTGGTGAGTCACCATGTGGTTGCTGGGAATTGAACTCAGGTCCTCTGGAAGAGCAGCCAGTCCTCTTAAGCTCTGAGCCATCTCTCCAGCCACCCCTCCTAATCTCTTAAAATCACTCAGCAGTCCCATCATACAGATAGGCAGATACACACAGTTTACACACACCTGTCACTATCATCATATAACTGAAAAGCATAATTGCACAGTAAGATTAGCCAGGAGGTCCTGTCTTCAAAATAGCAACCTAAAGTAGGCTCATAGATCCTTTGTCTTATTTATTGCATTAATTTGATTTTAACTAAAGAAACTAGGTCCTTGATAGTTTTATGTCAACTTGACACAAACTAAAGTCATCTGAGGGGAGAGAATTTTAATTAAGAAAATGCCTCCACAAGATGGGCCGTAGGCAAGCCTCTAGGGTATTTTCTTATCTGGTGATTGGTGGAGCAGGGCTCCACCTACTGTGGCTGGTGCCATCCCTGGGCTAGTAGTTCTGGGTCCTGGGTCCTGGGTTCCTATAAACAGAGAGAAAGAGAAAGGGGGCATGCTCAGGCACAGACTCGCATAGAAGCAAGTCTAGTTCTGCAACAACTAAGGCCTTGACAAATCCCCTTTAAAATAATGGGAAGAGTGTGGAAACACGTGCCTGTGATTCTCAGCACCCAGGAGGCTGTGGTAGGAGGATCAGGGAATGGACACGGTATAACAAGGTCAGCTTGGGCTACACAGTGAAACTCTGGTCTCAAAAGGACTGAAAAAGAAAAATGGGGTGGAGTGGGGCTGGAATGATGGTGCCGTAGTTAAGACACTTTCCTGTCTCCCAGACAACTGGAGTGTGGTTCCCAGCATCCGTGTTGGGGAACTCTACAAATGTCTGTAGCTCCAGCTCCAGGAGATCCAACATCCTCTCCTGGCCTCCAGAGGTACCCTCACATACATGCACATACATGACATACACTGACACAGATATGCATCCCCACACACAAATAATAAAATAAAATTCTTTTTTTAAAAAGTAATGGTAAATTGGGCATGGAGGTACACAGCTGTAATCCCACCTACTCCTAAAAGGATTGAATAACTAAGTCTTGCTAGAGCTATAGAATGAGTTCAAGGCCAGCCTGGGTGACCTATCAGGCCCCTGTCTCAAGAAATGAAAGGAAAAAATGGGCCCAGGGGCGGAGGGAGAATGAAAAATCTATTGGTACAAATTAGCAGTGAGTAAAACTTGGAAAATGTCTATCTGTCAGCTTTTATGGCTGTCAGGAAGAGGGCATTTTGTCAGAAAGGGCTTGAACAAAACTCTAATGCTGTTAGTCCAAGCAAATAGCTCAGTGTCCCCTGCTACTATCATCCTTCATGCCCTGGGTGTAAATCACCCAAGAGACTTCCTGACACTTTAGCTGCCTGATGAAGTATCCCCACCTCCAGGATTAAGTCCTCTGAAAGACATTCTTCCATAAATAAGATCCTCACATAAAAATGAAATGCTGCTCTTGTGTTTTTCCAACCTGCCTTCTTTAAAATGCAGAATTCAATTCTCCCATTACCAGAAGGCAATGGCTTCTGCATTCTTAGGGACCTAGTTTCTGCCTGCTTGGCCACTGCAATTTAATGGAGAATATATTTAGCAACATAAGCTATTCTGCTTGTGGTTGGGAATTTTAAAGCCACTACATCAATAACACATAAAAATATTCTGGAAGGCTGAAGAGATGGTTCAGTAGTTAAGAACACTAGCTGATCTTCCAGAGGTCCTGAGTTCACTTCCCAGCAACCACATGGTGGCTCACAACCGTCTGTAATGAGATCTGGTGCCCTCTTCTGACCTGCAGAGATACATGCAGACAGAACACTGTATCCATGATAAATAAATAAATAAATCTTTAAAAAAATATTCTGGAAGAGTAGGCTCTTAGGGGCTGGAGAGATGCTCAGTGGTTTGAGCACTGCTTGTTGCTCTTCCAGAGG